TTAATTAGTTCTGAATAAATGATAGTCACGCCAGAACAGATAAGATTGATAACTAACACTGGTGGTGGTCGAACTATTTATGGCGGGTTTCTGTTGTCGATGATGATAAAAACTTTTTCTTGACGAGACAATTTGATTACGTGGAAGTGGAGCATATTAGACAGGTAGCTGTGAGTCTATTGTCTATACGACAGGAAGTTTGTTGTCTATGATGAAAAGGAGGGCGTTTTCTACAGTCAAGGTTGCTCATTTTCTATAGTTAAAGGGGGCTTGGCACACCGCTGCAAGCTATGTAATTTTTATATGTGTGCATTACGTAGAGGGAATAGCAGTGTGACAGGGGCTGGTGAGTTTGTGGGGGCAGTGATGGACATGGAGAAATCTTACACTTTCCAAACGATTTACAGTCATTATCTGTAAATCGTTAGTTGTGACGCTACCCTTTGGATTATGTGTGATTTACCAACCTCGGGAGGGGTAACTTACTTAGGAACCCTTACTGTAGTCTCGAATATGGTCCAGGATTAATGTACTAAACCCTGTTGCATTAGCTTGGACTGGGGTACATTTTTATAATCTATAATGCTTACATACATGTACACATAGGCTCAGGATTGTATGTACACCAGTATTGGTGTACACCAGTACACATACACAATCTGTACACCAGTTGATTGACGGTTGAGAGGCGGGACCAAAGAGCCGAAGCCCAACCCCTCCGTAAGCACACTTGGGCGAGTACACATACAAATGTAGATTTCACAAACATTAACATAAATGCATTCGTACGTAAGCATATGTATATAATGATATATACATCCATAAATACATTAATTAATTCACATATACTTTTATACATAAAAACACACACACTTTAATTTCATGATTTATGACAGCTGATCAACGCACCTGGATATGTAATCGACGATTACTCATTAATAATTCAGATTAATTAAGTTTCTCATCCATGTATACACTCTACATGTTTATACACAAGTGAAACATGCGTACAAAAAAGTAATGCAATTATCAGCAAACATAGAGAAAGGGAAGACTATAAGCTATTGACAAATGTCCTTCAATCATCTGAATATCTGAAGGTCAAAAAATGTACAAATCGGACGCCTCACCGAACACAAACAAAGGGGTTGACTTTGCTCACTTTCCAGGGAATATTCTGGCCGTATTTCCACCGGCTAGTTGTAAACACCATGCTGGAAATATATATATATACTTATATACTTAATATATACTTAAATATAAATGTCTCACGGTCTTATAGTAGTATATATAGACCCACAATTGAGTTTATTGTTACATATTTTGTTCTGGTCTGTGTTTTGTAGTTCTACCTTGGATGATCAGTCCGGCAACCAGGAGGCCTGGTCTACGACCGGGCCACAGGGACGCTAAGCCCCGGAAGCACCTCAAGGTAACCTCAAGGTAAGGTCAAGGTCTACAGGTTCACAGGCTGTAGAGGGTCAAGGTTGGCTACTGGAGGGAGTCAGTGTGTGGAAATATGTGAGTAATTTAATATGCACTAGAGGAAGTTAATCAGAATTTAATGGATGAATTCAACGAGGATGTGGTGCGGGAAAGTCATTGCGTACACATTAGATGAATTCACAAAGTGTGTACAGGAGAAAGTCAATGATTGTATGCAAGGTAAAACCAACAAACTTGTGGAAGAAAAAATATATAAGTTTGTCCTGAAAAAACTACTAAAACCACGTTAGTCATTACCTGTGGAGTCAAATATTTTATGTTAAAAAGATTTGAAGTCCATTGTGTTCTGATTCCCTTGTTTACTTAACACATCTATTTATGAGTAACTCGCAACTTTGGATGAGAAGGCCAACAGTCGATCAATTCACACTGTCACTCTTGATTGACGGATGTGAATCATGGTCACTGCATGCAGAAAACACTAAATTATTTACTCCTAAACACCAAGGCCTCTGAGAAGGACAGGTCGTTTGAAAGAAAACGAGTGAGATTCACCGCTAACTAAAGTCAAATATATAATAATGACGAGGGGTTGTTTAAATGATGCTATTTTTGCCTTTATTTTAATATTATTGATTATAAAGGCGATGATCTTGTAAAATAAATCCTGTCAGAACAACTTGGTTGCTCCCCGTGGATACACAGGTCTGCTTTCATGCAAGTCTCCAATCAGTGGGATGATCTTGAATCCTGAGGCCCTCAGACTAGATCCTTGATAAAATAATAATAATAATATAATAATAATAATAATAATATTTATTTAGGCAAAGGTACATACATAAAGAGATTTCACAAAGTTTGTTTGCTTTATAGATAAGAGCTAGTACATACAATGCCTAAAGCCACTATTACGCAAAGCGTTTCGGGCAGGAAAAAACACTACTGACTAAAGCTTAAAACTAATGGGTAAAAAGAAAAAAATGCGTTGAGTACAAATAAAAATAGAGGTAAAAGAGGGGGGAACATTGTTGAAAAAACAGCACAAATACAATTACAAATTATTACAGAAAATTACATTAAAACAGCGTTGATTTGAAAAACAAAAAAACAAACAAAAAACATACATGGGTTGACAATAGAGAGGTAAGGTAGGTTACAGGGAATTTATTAGGTATAGCTTCGTTTTTAACTTAAACTGGTTGAGAGAGGTACAGTCTTTAACATGGTTGGGAAGGTCATTCCACATTCTGGGCCCCTTGATTTGTAGAGCATTTCTGGTTTGATTAAGTCGTACTCTAGGAATATCAAAACTGTATTTATTTCTGGTGTGGTGCTCATGGGTTCTGTTACAACCTTCTATGAAGGTTGTAACTATGTAACCTTCTATGAAGGTTGTAACTATGTAACTATGATGTAACTATGTAACCTATGATGTAACTATGTAACTATGATGTAACTATGTAACTATGATGTAACTATGTAACCTTCTATGAAGGTTGTAACTATGAAGGAAAAGATAATAGTCTACCTGGGACAGTTCAATGGTGGAGAGGCCATGCTTCGTTCTCCAACGTCGCAACAGACCGCCTTCACAGATGTGCGTGCCTTTACAGATGTGGGTGCCTTTACAGATGTGGGTGCCTTCACAAGCTGTGCCTGAGTCTGTAACGGGCACTCGGCGTAGACCCAGAGACCCTTTGTATGACAGTGGTCCTCTGCCTTCGTGCCCTAAATTCACGCTCAATGTCAGTGTTCTTGCAGTAAATTGAAAGCCGACCAATATGGATTGCATGGTCTGCATTGCGAGTACTCAAAGAGTTGTCATGCAAGACACAGTGTTGTAAATGACATCTTCAAGAGGAGCCTGGCTACAGGCAAGTGACCAGTAGAGAGCGGCGAGTTCTTCAGTTCGAAAGGCTTGAGAGTCTTGTGCACGGCCCAGATGCAATCACAATATATCCCTGGAGGATTGGCTGATAGCTGGCGTTGAACTATGTGTATCCACCCTGGCTTATGTATATAACTCTATCAGCGTTAGTTGAGCAGGTAGCGCCGCTAATGATGTGGAAGATGGTAGATCCAATAGGTATAGCGCACTAGGCTATCTGTACACATTTGCCCGAAACGCTTTGCGTAATAGTGGCTTTAGGCATTGTATGTACTAGCCCTATCTATAAATCCATCACTCTGTAAAATCTCTTGTATGTATGTACCTTACCTAAATAAACATTTGATTTTTTTTATTTTGATTTGTCGCCATGGCACCAGAGACCTTTGGCTCCTGGAGGAAGCGTATCATAAACTTTCTCAAAGAAGTTGGGACGTCGCTCACTGAAACTACCAGTTAAGAAAGGGCGGCTAGTTTCTTGTTTCAGCGCCACTGTGTGATGATCCAGAGAAGAAACGCCTACTGTGTCCTCAATTCTTGCCCTGAATCCGACAAGTTCCAATAGATTCACAGCCATTGATCATTCATTGCACTCCTTAACGTGTGACGTTTCACTATGTTGAACAAAGCAAAGAAAAAAATATTTATACATCGGAAAACCTCTCGTAAAAAGAGCACAAAGGCAAGCTAGAAAGAATCCTATGGGACCCAACAAGGCTTGTGCCGGAGACGAGAGGATTGACCTCTGAGGAAACGCTGTAGCAGCTAAACTACATATTAACAGAGAGGGAATACAGGTACCTACCATGTTACATAATTCCCAGGATAATTAACAAGGTTATCTTCTTCTATCTTGAGATTATCTTGAGATGATTTCGGGGCTTTTTTTAGTGTCCCTGCGGCCCGGTCCTCGACCAGGCCTCCACCCCCAGGAAGCAGCCCGTGACAGCTGACTAACACCCAGGTACCTATTTTACTGCTAGGTAACAGGAGCATAGGGTGAAAGAAACTCTGGCCATTGTTTCTCTCCGGCGCCCGGGATCGAACCCGGGACCACAGGATCACAAGTCCAGTGTGCTGTCCACTCGGCCGACCGGCTCCCCCCAGCTAAGCTAAGCAACATGAGAATTGGGAGTCATTGTGATTGATAACCCACAGCCGCAGCCCAGGATCTAACACTCAACCCCCACAAGCACATTTATGCAAGCACACATGTCTAGTTTTAAAAGTAGATATGATAGGGAAATAGGAGACATTGCTGTAAACAACCGATGGCTAGAAAGGCGGGATGCAAGTCAGTGCTCAATCCTGTAGGCACAAATAGGTGAACACACACACACACACACACACACACACACACACACACACACACACACACACACAGGAGGGGGCACAAGAGCTGGAACTGAACCACGCGAACACTCTTAAGCATAAAATTCGTGAATACACAGACATCCTCCTCATGCGCATACGCACGCACGTATGCGCATGTCACCTTCCCGTCCTCCCTACCCCTCCCCCTTCCCCAAACCCACCAATCAGCGCCGCCGTAGACTCCCGCGCTGCCACACAACCAATCAGCGCCGGCCGAGCAGAGAATTTCCGGGGAAGAAGGGAGGAGGTCAAGCAACAGCCAAAATCAGGAAGGAAATCAAATATCACTCTCAGTTTCGCGCTTGCCGGGGCTGTGTGAGGAAGTCCTCCTGAGGTTCACAGGCGCCTTATAAGTACAAGGTAATGTTACATCTCGTGTGTCATCTTCAAGTCAGTTACTAAGAATCAGTGAATCATGTCCTTGGAAAGGTTGAATGACTAGTTTCGTGTGTTTTTTTTTTTGGGGCGCGCGACTGGAGGTGTGGCATCTTTCAAATGTTTTTTGGTTAGCGAAGTGCTTTCAGGAAATGTATATAATATATATTATTGGGTGGTGCAGAGTTTGAAATAACATAGATGGTTTGATAATATTCATGTTTAACGTCTCGCAGAAAATTTACGTTTTTGTAGGAAAATTTTTTATACCGTCAAGATGGGATTGTTTAGATTAAAATGAGGTGAAACATCTTTTAAATTTCAGTGTTTAGCGTTGATAACTCTGGGTTTAGTTTAGATAGCAGGTGGCTTAGCTATCATAACAAGTAGTTTAGCTTAGATAGCAGGTGGTTTATCTTAGATAGCAAATGGTTTAGCTTTCATTACACGTTGTTGAGCTCAGTAGCCCGTCCTCGTAAGGTTTTCCCAACGTCAAGAAACTATCGTACTAAAGTGGCCTTATCCTAGCCTACCAGAGGTCCCAAAACAGAAAACGGGACAGAATGTCACTTTCGCGAGCCGCTTCCGTTTTCTAGTACGATGATTTTTGGCCTTTAAGCAGAGTATATGTCAAAATACGACGTTCTATTAGGAGGACGCGTTCGAGATCAGATAGCAGTTCGATATAGCTTAGATAGCAAGTTGTTAATCTTTGATTATATGGTTTAGCTTTAAGTAGAAGATAACTTAGCTTAACTAACTGATGGCTTTGCTTAAATAGCAGATAGCTTAGCCTAAATAATAAATGTATAAGCTTCAATAACAGTTAACTTAGTTTAGATAACAAAAGTTGGTTAGCGTAAATGCATTATTTTATCTATAATTATTATTTTAATTATTTTTTTGTTTTAATTTGCTGTGTTTTGTGATTCGTGCATTCAACATGGAGTTTGGCATATTCCTAGCGTCTCGGATCAAGCAGACTGTGTGAGGCTGTCATCGGACTGCTGATCAAGCGGTTAATAAGTTGGTCTGGTTATAGAGACCAAGTGGGGGGGGGGGTCGTTGGGGTGGAGATATAGAAAGAAAGAAAGAGAGAGAGAGAGAGAGAGAGAGAGAGAGAGAGAGAGAGAGAGAGAGAGAGAGAGAGAGACAGACAGAGAGAGACAGAGAGAGAGAGAGAGAGAGAGAAACACATTTAAATGAGTAGATACAAAAAAGGTTAAAAAAGTATTCAACAAAACACAAAGTTTGGTATAATTACGTGCAAAAAAAACTAATTAGAAGGAAACTAACCTCAACACCTGTAATAATAATATAAATTTAACAGTAGTATTACAAGTATTGTACTTGTAGCATTAGAAGTATTAAAAATAACACTATTAATGTTATTAATATCAAATATTAATATTAATAACATTGTATTAATATTAAATAACACAACAGTAATTCCAGGGCAATTTGATCAAATTCATTTTGTATAAATATGCGTATGTATTAAAATTTCTATTACGCGATCTAAATGACTAAAAAAAAGAGAGAAAAAACATATATTTTACATAATAAGAATGCGGAAGTCCGGCCGCCTCAGTAACAGCTTGGACTTATTAGGAATTCAATTATATTTGATAGTTGGTCGGTTAAAGCGGTAGCCTATTTTTCCAGCGGTTCATAGACTTGCACCCATATACTGATCATGTCTTAAAGCTGTGCTACCTATAGCGAAGAGGGAACTATATTATATACAGAAAGTGAAGGTTATGTCGAGTATACTAAGGCAAAAAAACCTGTTTATATTTTTTGTCTGTCTGGTGGGCGTTTGGAGCAAGAAGGGCAGGAGCAAGATGTCATCACTACTCTTGTGGGTTTTACTTGTTCCTGTGAGTGTGTGTTTGTTTGTTGGTGTAGTTGTTCCTCTCTCTGTGTGTATTTGTTCTTATGGGCTGTAATTTGTTCTTTTGAGACTATTTGGGCCTGGGTGTGTTCCGTTGATTGTGGGGGCAGGTGTTCATTGACTTCCTAGTTCCCTTGAGTGGCTTTATTTGTTTATGTGAGTGTATATTTGCTTGCTGGTGTGTTTGTTCCTTTGAGGAACAAAAACACAGTGAGGGACGCTTGTGTTGGTGGGTATATTGGTCCCGGAGTGACCATATGGTTCCGGGTTCGCTTCTTCCTTCCTAAGTACTTTTGTTTTTGTTAATTTACATGTTCTTATGTATGTATTTGCTTCTCGGTTATATTTGTTCTCGCGAATACTTCTCTATGTAAGTGTACTTGGTTCATCTATTGTACTTATGACAATATATATTTCAGTCTACTTATTCCTGTTAGCTCTATGAGTGTATTTGTTCATTTTTAAGTGTATTTGCTCTTGTGAATGCATTTCTAACTGTGACTATTTTCATGACTGTGAGCTAATGGTTTGATCTGATTTTTTGTTTAAATCACATAAAATTTGTTTGTCACCCAAGCCACAATTCTATATATTGAGACGTTTTATCACGATTTTTTTTTATTTTTTTCGAGATTTATAAGAGAAGACATTTTATAAATATTTTTCGTATTTATAAAGAAACAATTTCTTTATAAATACGAAAGTATTTATAAATATATTGTGTACAAAATTATTATAGATTTAACTGGGGATAATTTGTGTTTAGGTGAAATACATATGTGGTGGTTTCTAGTACAAAATTGTAGTACAAATATTTAGGCAAAGTTATAAAAATATTTTATATGAGACATAATTCATTAAAATCTTAAAAAATGCAATTGATAAAAATGTTATTAAATATATTTTCTTATTAAAGAATCGAAATGAAACTATGCAGGACGCAAAAAAAAAACTAGTATTAAATTTGAAAATAGTAAAATAGCAATGGTTAAATTTAGCATGGTAAAATAACTTCATGTTAAACTAATATCTCGTTAAATTGACATTTTTTTTAAATTAATATGTTAAATACGCATTGAGAACAGATAACAGAAACCACTTTAATTAGTAATAGAAGTGGCAAATAACCTACTAACAGACGTAGCAGAAATAGTAAATAGCCTAGTAACAATAGCAGCAGTGGTTGTGTAAAATAGAATTAAAAGTCTCAAAATAAAGAAGGGGAGTGCAAAACTGAGAGAGAGAGAGAGAGAGAGAGAGAGAGAGAGAGAGAGAGAGAGAGAGAGAGAGAGAGAGAGAGAGAGAGAGAGAGAGAGAGAGAGAGAGAGTGAGAGAGAGAGAGAGAGTGTACGAAGTAGACCCAGACTGCGAAATAGAGAGAGAGAGAGAGAGTGAGAGAGAGAGAGAGAGTGTACGAAGTAGACCCAGACTGCGAAATAGAGAGAGAGAGAGTAGAGAATCAAGTGAGAGAGGAAGAATGACTGACATTGACCTTAAGCACTTGACCCTTTCCAAACCGGTTTTATTCCTGTGTTGCCAACCACCGGAGCCCAAACGATTTAGATTGAGACGAGTCATGTTAAGAATAATGTTTGGGATTGATTAGGCTTTTGGTTGGTTTTTGTCCTATACGGCGTCAAAGATTTCCGATGGTGCCGATAATTAGATTCGATTGTCATTTTGTCGAGTCTGATCCTGTGTTGTGGTGTCTGATCCTGTGTTGTGGTGTCTGATCCTGTGTTGTGGTGTCTGATCCTGTGTTATGGTGTCTGATCCTGTGTTATAGTGTCTGATCCTGTGTTATGGTGTCTGATCCTGTGTTATAGTGTCTGATCCTGTGTTATGGTGTCTGATCCTGTGTTGTGGTGTCTGATCCTGTGTTGTGGTGTCTGATCCTGTGTTGTGGTGTCTGATCCTGTGTTATGGTGTCTGATCCTGTGTTATAGTGTCTGATCCTGTGTTATAGTGTCTGATCCTGTGTTGTGGTGTCTGATCCTGTGTTATGGTGTCTGATCCTGTGTTATGGTGTCTGATCCTGTGTTGTGGTGTCTGATCCTGTGTTGTGGTGTCTGATCCTGTGTTGTGGTGTCTGATCCTGTGTTATGGTGTCTGATCCTGTGTTATGGTGTCTGATCCTGTGTTATGGTGTCTGATCCTGTGTTATGGTGTCTGATCCTGTGTTATGGTGTCTGATACCATAACCACCAGTTTTTCCAGCATGTTCTTAGGGTTTGAATATGAGCTTCTTACTTTGCACTATTTCAAAACCTTTCAGCAGTCAAAACATGCAGTCTCTCTCTCTCTCTCTCTCTCTCTCTCTCTCTCTCTCTCTCTCTCTCTCTCTCTCCTCTCTCTCTCTCCTCTCTCTCCTCTCTCTCTCTCTCTCTCTCACGCACCCATTGACCTACCGACCTTCCGCAAGCGTCAGACCGCATGCAATCCTTGTGTGAATCCAAGGATTCCCACTTCCAGTCACAGAAGTCGTGACCTTTGTAACAGGAAATAACCCCATCTCTCCCTCAAGGCAGTTGTGTGGCCCAAGACACTGAATCTTAAGTTAATGATACCTAGGATCATCAAGACTGTTGTTGTCTTCTTCTTCATCAATGTCCTGGCTGAATGTTAATGAGTTATGGATAGATTTGCGTAAGGGGGGAGTGGATAATGGTTGACTGAGGTGGAGTGACAAGAGAACAAAAAAGATGTCTCGATAAAGGAGATGATAATTATTATCCACAGCCCCGCTCCAGTGCCAGGTAAGTCCACTACGGGCTCACCATAGCCCGTGCTACTTGCCCCGCTCCTGTGCCAGGTAAGTCCACTACGGGCTCACCATAGCCCGTGCTACTTGCCCCGCTCCTGTGCCAGGTAAGTCCACTACGGACTCACCATAGCCTGTACCACTTGCCCCGCTCCTGTGCCAGGTAAGTCCACTACGGACTCACCATAGCCTGTACCACTTGCCCCGCTCCTGTGCCAGGTAAGTTACGGGCTCACCATAGCCCGTGCTACTTGGAACTTGTTCCAAGTAGCTCAATCAACAACAACAAGGAGATGAGCATCTAACACTCTCATCTCTCTCTCTCGTCTCCTCAGATCAGGATGCTGGACAGCCTACCAGTGCGCCATCTCCTCCCTACCATGCTGCCCCTACTTCGTGTCCTCCTGGTAGGGGTGCTAAGGACGGGCCGTCAGGGAGACTATCTCCCTCCCCTTGCTGTTCTTCCAGAGTATGACTTCATAGTCGGTAAGGCTCGCCTACCTGGATAAAAGTTCTTTTACATTTTGTAGAACACTGAGGGGACGATTTATTAGTTAGAAAGGCGGGGTCCAAGGGCTAATAGCTCGATTCTGTAGATGTAAATAGCAAATACAGTTTGTGTCTGATACTTCCTGATACAGACTTTGGTTATTTATTGTTTTCTATAGTTCTGGACTATGTTCAGGGGTATAGAATATTTGTTGGTTGGTCAGTAGGCTGTTGTGGTAGAATTAGTAACCTTCCAAGTTGACCAGACCACACACTAGAAATTGAAGGGACGACGACGTTTCGGTCCGTCCTGGACCATTCTCAAGTCGATTGTCAATCGACTTGAGAATGGTCCAGGACGGACCGAAACGTCGTCGTCCCTTCAATTTCTAGTGTGTGGTCTGGTCAACATACTTCAGCCACGTTATTGTGACTCATCGCCTGCGTAACCTTCCAAGGGTTGATAGGCCTAAATAATCCTCTGGAGGTTTATAGGCCTAAAGCCAAACGCCGTCTCAAATGTTCTAAATACTATACCAAGAGTTTTTTTAATCTTATAAATAATTCTTCTTATAAAAATAATTAAAACTGAAACAATAAATTTTAATTTAATACAAAATAATTAATTTTTGTAAACAAAACAAAAGCAAAGTTAACACTAAGACTCGTATATAGTGCGACAAATAAAGAAGAAAACAAAGAAATTTTGCGCAAAATTTATATTATTTTCAAACCAATTTGTAACCATTAAATTTTTTGATGACGGAACATTATAATTTCACTGTTGCGTTTGTTTCTTTTGATTTGTTATGTCTTTGCAAAGTTTTTGCAAATATTTTAGTATTAATGTTATTGCTAGTTTTTTACATATATATCATTTAGTTAATATGTAATTACATAACTTCCCTGTTACGTAATTATTACTTTTTTTAATTATTTTTTTTAAATACTGTTTTTGTTTAGTTAAGTCATTTGTTCCTCTTTTTTATTATTATTATCGTCACTTGAAGAGATAATGTTTTTGTTAAAAGTTCATTAATGTTATCACGTTATATAATTATTATATATTAACTTTATATATATTGTGTTGATTTTCTTGTGAATTGTTTTTTCGTCTTTAGGACCAAAATACGTCTTGATTATTTGTGTTATTATTATTATTATTATTATTAATACTGCATATCATTTGAACTCTGAACATTTTGAACCCTTGACCCGTAAAACTTGACCTTTTGAACAGAGCCTTGAATTCTGAACTTTGGGGCTTGGAACATCTGGATCTTGACCTCAAACTTTGACCTTTTTAAACGTCTGAGTCTTGACTTTTGAACATTTAAGCCTTGACCTGTAATGTCTGACCTTTTAATTCTGAACTTTGACTTTTGAATACCTGAACTTTGACCTCTGAATATCTGACCTTAGACCTTTGAATCCCCTGAATCTTGACTTTCGAATATCTGAACTTTGACCTTTCAACCCCCTGAATCTTGACTTTCGAATCTTGAACTTTGACCTTTGAACTCCCGAATCTTGACTTTTGAATCTTGAACTTTGACTTTTGAATCTTGAACTTTGACTTTTGAATCTTGAACTTTGACTTTTGAATCTTGAACTTTGACTTTTGAATCTTGAACTTTGACTTTTGAATCTTGAACTTTGACTTTTGAATCTTGAACTTTGACTTTTGAATCTTGAACTTTGACCTTTGAACTCCTGAATCTTGACTTTTGAATCTTGACCTGTCAACTTTAATCTAAGTTTATGTTTTTTTGTTTTACTTATAACCTCAACTTACTTATTTTCGTCTTGTACTTATTAATGTTCATCTTCTCCTCTTCCTACACTCCATTCTTTCTCATTTTCTCTCATTTCCTCTCTTTATTTGCTCTTTTCTTCGCACTCATTCGCATTTTTATTCTATCTCTTATTCTTTCTCGCTTCTCTCACTCATTTTCTTATTTGTTCTACCTCACACATTCTCTCTCTCTCTCTCTGTCTGTCTCTCTCTCTCTCTATCTCTCTCTCTCTCTCTCTCTCTCTCTCTCCTCTCTATTCTCTCTCTCTCTCTCTCTCTCTCTCTCTCTATCTCTCTCTGTCTCTCTCTCTCTGTCTGTCTGTCTTTTCTCTGCTCTGTCTCTCTTTATCTCTCTCGTCTCTCTCCTCTCTCTCTCTCTCTCTCTCTCTCTCTCTCTCTCTCTCTCTCTCTTCTCTCTCTCTCTTCTCTCTCTCTCTCTCTCTCTCTCTCTCTCTTTCCCCTCTCCCTCTCCCTCCCCCGTGCAGTGGGCGGAGGTACAGCAGGATGTGTACTGGCGTCAAAGGTTGTCAGAGATTGGGAGTGGAAGGTCCTGCTGCTGGAGGCTGGGGGCGCGCCGCCCCCTGAAAGCGAGATCCCGGGACTAAGTCGAGTCTTCTAC